GCGGCGGACCCGCCGGCGGCCCGCCGCCGCCCGGCCGCGCCTCGCCTCTCAAGGGGGGCGCCGGCATCTCAGAAGGCCTGCCCGATGGAGAGATAGAACTCGAAGCGGTCGTCCTCGTCGCGCGGATTGAGCGGCACCGCCACGTCGAGGCGCACCGGCCCGATGCCCAGGTAGTAGCGGAGCCCCAGGCCGGCCGCCCACTGCCAGTCGAAGTCGGCGTCGGGCAGGGTGTTCTCGTAGACCTGACCGCCGTCGAGGAAGGGCACCACGCCGATGTCCTCGCTCACCTTGATCCGCGTCTCCAGCCCGACCTCGACCACCGACTTGCCGCCGAGCGGGTCGCCGTCGGCGTCGAGCGGCCCGATCACGCGGAAATCGTAGCCGCGCACCGAGCCGCCGCCGCCGGCATAGAAGCGCTTGCTGGCCGGCACGGCGGCGGAGTCTTCGAAGAAGAGCGCGCCGAGCCGGGCGCGGCCGGCGAAGACGACGCGGTCGCTCTCGAAGGGGCTCCAGTAGGTCGCTGCCGAGGTCTCGCCGATCAGGAACTGGCTGCTGCGCTCGCCGACGCTGACCCAGGGGGCGGCGCCCAGGGTGACGTGCCAGCCCCGCGTCGGATCCAGCAGGTTGTCGCGCGTATCGTAGGCGACGGCGGCCGGCAGGCCGACCAGGGTGAAGCGGTCTGTGCCGAAGCTGTCGCGCTGCTCGGAGAACTCGATGGCGGTGTCGAGATTGACGGTCCAGGCTTGGCCGATGCTGCGCTCGACGCCGAGCGAGGCGGCCGCCGTGGTCTCGTCGAAGGCGTCGCTCTCCTCGTGCCGGAAGGAGGATTTGGCCAGCAGGGCCTGGTCGCCGCGCAGGAAGTTGGGCCGGCGGAACAGCGCCCGCGCCTCCTGCCGCAGCAGGGAGCCGAGCGCCTCCAGCCGCAGCGTCTCGCCGGCGCCGAAGAGGTTGCGGTGCTCCCAGCTCAGCTTGGCGCGGGCGATCTCCTCGCTGGAGGTGATGGCGGCGCCGACGCCGATGGAGCGGTGCGGGCGCTCGCGCAGCACCAGCGTCACCGGCACGGCGCCGTCCGACGGCGGCGCCTGCTCGGGATAGTCCAGCACCACCGTCTCGAAGAGGTCGCTGGCCGCCACCCGGTTGCGCACCGCGTTGAGCGCGCGGGCGTCCCAGACCTCGCCGTCCGGCCAGTCGGCAATGGCGCGGATGTAGTCCTCCTCCACCTCGGCGGCGCCCTCCACCGTCAGCGACCCGAAGGTCACCCGGGGGCCGGTCGCCACGGTCAGACCGGCGGTGAGCTGGCTGCGGGCGTGATCGGCCAGGTAGCGCGCCTCGGCGATCTCGGCATAGGGGTAGCCCGCCTGGGTCAGCAGCGTGACGATGCGCGCCTCGGCCGCCTGCAGCGGCGCGGCCTGGGCCGGCATGCCCAACTCCAGGTCCAGATCCTCGGCACTCTGCGGGATGTCGCGGTCGTTGGCCGATCGCGGCACCTGCGGGCGATAGGTGATGGTGTAGGCGCCGAGGGTGAACTGCGGCCCCGGCTCGACCGTGACGGTGACCAGCGCCGGGCTCTGCGCGGTGTCGACGTCGCTCGACAGCGCGAAGGCATAGTAGCCGGCGGATTTCAGGGCCGCCTCGTAGCGACCGCGCTCGTCCTGCACACGCCGACGCAGGGCGGCGCGCGTCGCCGGCGGGCGGTCGCGCATCTCCTCGAGCTGGGAGACCTCCTCGAGCAGCGCGCGCAGCGGCGCCGGCAGCTCGCCGCGCAGTTCGACGCGGTAGTCGACGCCCTCCGGGCCGGCGGTCGGCGCCGCGTCGCTCTGGCTGCCCAGGGCGGGGCGCGGGTCGGTCGGGCTGGCGGCCAGGGCGGGCGCCGCGACGAGCCCGGCCGTCAGGCCGAACGCTGCGAGACACGCCGCCGCGCCGCGGCGGAAACGCTGGAAATCTCCCTGCACGCTGCTCTCACCTAGGCCGCAGCCCACTCCTGCCAAGTCGCCACCTTCCGGCGCCGCGCGTCGGACCCGGCGCGCGGGCGATCCAATCCAAGGCGAAACCGTCGCTGTCCGGACGGTACGAGAGCGCACCCGGAAAACCAACAGCGCGCGTCCGCCCCGCGGCGTCAAAGTCGCCAAAGTGGTCCGGAGGTCGCAGATTCCATCGCCGAAGTCGCCGCCAATCAAGGACCCGCTTCCCATAAGCGGCAGGCTTGGGTCCTGGATGCGGGCTCCGGATCGCCCGCCGCGAGTCGGGAGAGACTGCCATGCCGATCGCCCAGGACAGCCTGGCCACCGTGTTGCAGGGGGTCTCCGCCCCCATCGAGCGGGCGCGCGGCCTGCCCGGTTGGATGTTCCACGACCCGGAGGTCTA